CCTCATTCTACTTTCTAGTTTTTGTTAATATGATCTAAAGTTTCAAAGTAAATTTTTATAGTTTTATAGACAGTCTATTCTCTTTCAAACATTGAAAAATTATTTTGATATTTGGATTTGGTTTTAGAACCAAGTCTGAAATATCTATATTTATTGGTTTTGGTGTTCATCTCCAGTATGTTTAGATCATGACTTTCTTCTTTTTTAGCTCTTGTTATTTATTCATTTTGTAGTTGGTTGGAAAATATCCTCAATACTTATTTTAATTAAAAGACACAGGATTGGAATATTTTCTGAGCCCTTGCTGACTTGAGAATGTGTTTTGTTCACTGTGGCCTGAGTACATCTATGCTAGCGTAGCTAGGTATAAAATTTTGAGTCATAAGTTTTCCCTTTTATAGATTTTGCTTTGTGATCTTTGGCCCAGATCTTTGTTTTTGAATCTCTCCAGTTTTTTTTTCCACATCTTTAGTGTTTTGCAAAGATATAGGTGTTGGACCCTATTCCTTGAGCTTTGATTCTCCCTGTGGCTCACCGAGAACTAAACTCAGAGGTGCTTTACCACTGAGCCCCATCCCCAGCCCTTTTTATTGTTTGCAACAGGGCCTCTCTAAGTTGCTGAGGGTGGCCTAGAACTTGACGCTCCTCCTGCCTCAGTCTCCTCAGTAGCTGGGATTATCGAGGGATGCCACCAGGCCTGGCCTGCTTGAGTCCTGCTTCCATTCCATTTGGCCCCTGTTGCAGTTCCCACCTGTCACCTACCCGCTCTCTACTTTCCTACATTTTTATCCTCTTCCATGTTTCTATGTCTTTATCCTTTCCCCCTATATTTTATAAATTTCTCCATCTTCTCAAATCCCTGAATTAGTTTGCCACAGTATCATTTTTCTCTGCTGCTTACAAAGCGGATGTTAATTGTGCCCACTGGGATTTGAGATAATTTGCTCTAGTTTTTATTTTTCCAACTCTTCTCTCTCTCATGCATTTAATATATATGGTCTTTAACCTTATCTTTCCTCCTATTTCATGTGGCTTTCTCTTTCTAGAATTGTTTGGTCTGTCCTGCGTATTTGGTCACCTGTTGTTGGTGGCTGTTTTGGAGCTGTGGCCACACAATTGAATAGTTGTGATGCAGAGCATGTGGCCCTCAAAGACTCAGATATATACTGTTTGGCCCTTTGTAGAAAAAGCTTTGTTGAGCCCTGTCCTAGCCTGAGGGCTGGGTTCCCATCTCGGATCCAAGGTGGATGGCAGGGGATGGTCCATGGCTCCATCTCCAGTTCCCAGTTCCTACCAACCTTTTACTTGGATTTGCTTCTCTTGGGTAGACTCAGTGCCCTTCTTATTCCTCACTTTCTGATTCTCTGCCATCAGTGATTTTGATTAAAAATATAAGTTCCGGAAGCCACCGCAACTGCTAATCCTTCTGGTCCCTACGCTTCCTCAGACTTCCTCCCCTGGTGGAGGGCTCACTCCCTGTGTCCCTGCCCTCTTCCTGCCCCTTCGGTTTTCTGGTCAGTGTCCTTCTATCTGCCATCTTCCTCCCTCGCCCCAGGATCTTTCTGTTCATCAGACAAAGAGCTGAGTCCTGAGGTAAAACCTGGATAGTTTTTGCTTCTTCCTCCACCATCTGCCTTTAATTAATAGAGATTGCTCCCAGATCCCGGCACTGGGTCATCTATCAGTTTGCGTTCTTGGCGTTAGTGTGTGAATTTTCATCTTTTCATTGTCTTTATAGCTATTTTGGCACAAAAGCCAGGAGAGGCTCCTCGAGGGGGCTGTCAAGTAGATGCCATGTTGGGGAGGGAGATAGAGTTGGCTTTTAGAGCCCGTGGTTTATCCATCTCAGAGGCAATCTCTGTGGCTCTGCGTGCCTTTGATAAAGGAAGCAAAGACGGGGACGTTTTCCTTATCCAGGGACCACTTCGTCCAGTGACCTCAGCTATCTGGAATACAGTCCAAAGGAAGAGTCACAAGCAGCCAAAAAGCCCCCCCCCCCCCGGCATCTGTGTTCCGGAAGGTTCTTCACTTTCCCCAAAGGAGAAAGAACAGTTCAGCCTCTCTCTCCTTCCAAGCCTCTTTACCTGGGCTTTACACACAGAGTTCTAGAAAGCTTGGTCTTTGTTTTCCTAACTCACCATTCAATCAGAGTCAGCAACTCTGGAGGGAGTAGGGCGCAGTTTGCAACAAGCATCCTGACGTCACCAGAACTGGCAATTGACAGAAAGGAAGGACACCCCAGCCCCCAGCAAAGGTCAGCACAGCTCAAATGCTCAGAGACTGACATCTTCTGAGTTTGAGTTCACAACCACCTCTCTGGGTCCTCTGCCGAGGCGGGTGCTGTGTGCACATCGTGGGTACAGAGACTGTCCCCTTCCCGTGCAGGTAATTCAGAGAGTGGTTCTAATGCTGGCTGCTGTCACAATCGCCCGAAGAGCATTGGAAATCCAGACACTCAGGCTATTCCCTGAGCCAAGGAAGTCAAAACCTCTAGGGGCTGAGACTCAGGCACCAGGGTGGTTTAAATCTTCCAAATGATTCCATGCATAGCCAGGATGGGAGACCAAAGGTTAGAATCCCAGGCTCTGGAGGCAGATGGCCTCTCGAGGCACATGACCCTGGGGGAGCAGGTCCCCCACATCTCTGGACCTGGATGCTCCTCTGTGAAATGGGACCCGCCTGGAAGGGGCCAGAAGAGTTTGTAAAGCATCGGGAACAGCGCCAAGGCCCTGTTCCTGCCCTGTGTTGCCGCCGGGATCCAGTGCAGCCCTGGAGGTGCGTGGCGATGACTGGGATTTGGCACATAGGCTCTGGGAGCTCGAGCGAATTAGGCAATGATGGATGTCGCACATCCTAGGACGATTTCTGTCCCAGGTGGACGCTTGGCTCTGAAGAGAAGGGCTTTCAATGGCTGTTACTAGGCTGGGGGCAGTGATGCTGAAGGTCCAGGGGGAGGTTGTCCCAGGGCCCCGTCTGCCTCCCTTCTGCCTCGTGGGGCGGGGCTCCCCTTGGGCAGGCTGCCCTGGAACCTCTCTGAGCTGTGCTTTCTCCATTTTAAGCTGAGCACTGCAACCTCCCACAAAGCCCCCGTACCCCAGACCTGGAAGAGGGGACACGCTCAGAGGCGCCCTTTCCACCCAGGCTGTCACAGGGGTGGGTCTCCCTGGGCCCAGGCCACAGAGGCAGGGTGTCAGCCTTTCTTGCCAACCGGAAATGAGAGTACTGACGGGGGCCAACACAAAAAATTTCACAAAAAAAATATAACACAAAAGGCACCGAATGGATTCGAGGCTGTCCCTACAGTGACATTACTAGACACCACTTGCATTCCAATTGGCTTCCATAAGTGGAGGGAGCAGGGAGCGAGCCAGCTCACTGGAACCACTAGAATGTGCACGGCCCTGCATTCACCCACACCTTGCCTCTGCTGGGAGCATCATCTGTTCCCGAGTGGCAGAGACGTGGCCCAGCACAGCCGATCCCCACCTGGAAGTGCAGTGGACAGTGGTGGGGATGGTGCTGTTGACTTGTTTGTTGGGGCTGCTGTCCTCCCCCATCCTGGGGATTGGCCACAGTTGAGTGAGGGCCACTCTCTGGACATCCTAGTCCCTGCATCCCAAGAGTTCCTGGAACCCACCAGCCATCTGGTTAACAGGAAAAACGGACACAGTGGCCTCCTGTGTCCTGAGAGGGGTTCAAGGGCTCCGACTGCAGAGGAGCAGCAAGGTGGGCTGTTCTTCCAGTTCCTGAGACTGGTTCCTAGTTTGGGGCCTCAAGAGACTGGCCTGGGAGACAGAAGGGGCTGCCAGGACCCTGGTTCCCAAGGCAGTGGATGTAGCTGAGCTAATTGAGGCACCAGTTACTGCATCCTGGGACCTCAGAGGAGACAACTGCCTCCTTTGGAGCCAGAGACTGACTCTAAGGAGATTTCTGAATATTCTCTGCAGATCTTAGCCACGGGCTGGGAGCAGATGTCCTGAGGCCTGACTTCCTGCCCTGGCTTTGCTCTGTACTTCCACACAAATCATCCCTTTCTGCCACGTTGACCTCAGTTTTCTTGTCTGCAGAATGGGAATAACATCATCTCTCACGCATCAAAGAACGGTTCTAGGAATCGAGTGAGAGCCCACTCTCTTGAGTGGCAAGGGCAGATCAGGCAGGGGGAGTTTCCTGGGCCTCTGCAATGACCTGGGCCACCATGCTCAGGAGGTCACAGACCTAGTGAAAGAATTGCACCCTCTTGTCCAAAGAGCAGAAATGTCAGGCTGGGAGAGCACAAATTGGGATGGGGTCCAGCCACAGAGTCTGTATTTGGGGAGAGTTGAAGGTCTTCTGCCAGAAGAAGCGAGTCTAATGGCTGGCAGGCCCTGGTTCTTGTTTCAGGGCCTGGAAGCCCCCGAAGTGATACCCTGCGGACGCGGGCCCGGCAGCCCTGCCTCTCAGCAGTAGGGCCCATTAGAACTGAACTCTTCTTCGTGGGACATTTTATTTGTACACTCCAGTGGAGTGGACACCAAAGGGGTTTTCTAATACTTCATGGGCTGCTAATTTCCTCTGTGACCTCTTTTGTTGGGGCCTGACCCCAGCCAGAGGCTCCGCGCCATGAAAGCCAGTGGCTGACACAGACCCAGAGCGCGGGGTGACAATGAGGCCTCTATCGGCTTTAATCAGGGCTCCAGTGGCGTCTTAAGAACAGGGGGAATTTGTGTGGTGCTCAGAAGCCCTGGGTGGCATGATTCGGGAGCCCCCAGAGACTCTCACGGAGGCCAAGGCGGCTAAAGGATTCGTCAGGCCAGAGGAGGAGGGGGTCAGGCGGGGGCCTTTTGTCCCAAGGGCCTCTTTAGAAGGCGAGGCCTGCCCTGAATGGCCGCCCCGCTCAGCCTGGCCCATGGGTATCGCAGGCCTCTGGGTATTTGGGGAGGTGGCCTCCCGCCCGGCCCACCAGCCTATTCATTGCCAGCCTAATTAGTTTTTGTCTGTGCTCTCTGCCCCTCCTGCAGACTGCGATTCCTACTGTAAGGCCTCCAAAGGGAAGCTGAAGATTAACATGAAAAAGTACTGCAAGAAAGACTATGGTGAGTAGAGCCCCGTCCTGGGAAGTGGGGTGAGGCCGTGTGACCCGTGGAGAGCTGGGGTTGGGATGCAGGTTGGTCGTGGAATCCCTGTGACCAGTGGATCTCACACCCAGGCATTGCACATCTCTACCACCTTGGCCCTCGGAGACAGAGGGCATGAGGGGCCACAGGGGCCTGGCTTCTCCTCCTCTCCCTGTGGAGGGCCGTTAAGGCCAGTGGGAACCTCTGAGGCTGGGATTCCCAGGCTGGGTCCTGGCCTTTGCCCTGTCTCTGCTGGGCTGTGTGGCTGCAGACTGGTCCTTGCTGATCTTCCATGTCCTCATTCATCCTGTGGACAGTCCCCTTAAGTCTGTGTGGCTCACAGCAGGGCCCTCAAGCATCAGGACAGTGGTAGGAGCTCCTGGTGTGTGTAGAAAGATCCTCTCATCTGCAAGGAGCCTGGGGAATCTGCATTGCCAAGGGTCCAGCCCTTTTCTGACCCTGAGGGGTCCTTGCTGGGCCAGTGGCAAGACTCAGACTTTTTTATAATATTTATTTTTTAGTTGTATTTGCACTCGGTACCTTTATTCTACTTATTTATTTCTATGTAGTGCCGAGGATCAAACCCAGGGCCTCGAACGTGCTAGGCGAGCGCTCTACCGTTGAGCCGCAACCCCAGCCCTAAACTTTTATTTTTTTTTTATTAGTGCATTATAGTTACACAGAATAGTGGGTGGATTATGGGCATTTTCATATATGCACGTAAACTTTGTTTCCTAACAAAGGGTCAGGACCTTATTAGCATAAAATGATGAATGATGAGGAATGTGGAGAACTTCTAAAATGTTCTCATTTTATGACATGCGTGTGTGTGAGAGCATATGTATGTACATACAGATCAGCACACCCACACCTGCGCGCACACACCCCACGCTGACTCCAGGGCGAGGCCCTAGTAATCCAGCCACGCTCCTGGCTGCACTGCCTGGCCTCCCTCAGATGAAGCAAGAGCAACTGGCAGGTTTTACGTGTCAATCCAGTGGTTTCCAGGTGGTGGGCATTGACACTCCAGGCCCCTCTGAGGTCCCCAGTAAATTTCCAAAAGCCCCTTTAAAATACAGCTATCACTAGGCTGTGCAGAAACTTCCAACTCCCCCGGGGAAGTCAACCTGGATTTTGATAATACACTTGGCTGTCATCTGAAGATAAAGGAAGCATAGTGTCTCCAAGCCAGGGTGACAGCCACAAGGAGGGGCTTCAGGTGGTTTTTGGAAGAAGACCACGCGCCCCCCCCCCCCCCCAGCTACAGGACACATGTGTCCAAGTCCCAGGCCTCCAGCCTCAGCTGGGGACTACGAGGTGGCCCCTCCCAACCCTCAAGTGAGCAGGAGACTTGGGGGACCCCTTCCAGAGCTTCTCCTAGCCAAGCAGCAGACCTGGGCAGTGTGAGTCCCAGGGAGGCCATGTCCCCTCCTCCCATGTCCCTCCTCTCCTTGGTCTGCACAGGCCCAGGGGGAACTGGGCAGGGAGGTGGGAGGGGGGAGGGACCTGGTGGGCTGCTGGAGGAAAGGGTCATATTTGTTTATTTGGGGTTTGGTCTTGAAGGATCCTGTGAGCAGCTGCCCTGGGAGGAAGAGATTAGGAGAAGGGGAAGTTGGGTTTCTGGAAGGTGCAACCTGCAGCTTCTATTCTGTTCTTCAAGGGGAAAAGAAGGAAAAATTAGACTTTAACCAAAATGGGTCCCCTTTCCCACATGACTATTACTCAGTCTAGATTAGTTGTCCTTGAAGTTTTGTTCTGGGTTTTGCTCCAGGACTCTGCCTCCTTCACCTCTGATATTCCAGGGGGCTCCTGGCCCCTTCAGTAAGCAGACCCTCTCTACCTTCCAAACATGACACCCTGCCTTTGTAGTCGGGAGCCCAGGGCTGTCCTGCCCCCACCCCCGGCCAGGTTCCAGGAGACGCTCTGTTCCCTGACTGAGCCCTCTCCTTGTCCATATGGGACTTCCACACTTATCAGAATGAAGCTGGTGTCGGAGATGGTGGGCTTCAGTGCCTCTGCTTACAGATGGGGACACTGGCCCTGCTGGTCAGGGGTCTTGCTCAGTCACACAGCCAAGGGGTGGCCCGGCCTCCTACTCCCTCCCTCCCTCCCTCCCTCCTTCCCTGGGTTCTTCCCTCTCCATCAGTATTAGCCCCCAGGACCCCATTTGTCACAAGGCCCAGAATGGTCAAGGACAGCCTGGTGTAGTTACCTTTCCAGACATTATCTGCCTCATCTCTGCCACTCAGGTGTGTCACCCAGATGTCCACATGTCTGTTGCCATTGAAGACTTGAGGAACAGCAGGTTATAGGGAGATGAAGGGACCCCACTCTGGGACCTGACAAGGTCTAGGCCTGTTGTATCACCAACTAACCATTATGTCCCAGCATCCCATGTAGAGGACACCTATAAAAAATTAAAATGAGAAATGAATATACCATTATCGTACCTTTTGTTGCTCATTTTAAGTTTTTATAGGTCCCATCTATTTAAATCCTATATGTGGGACAGTAGTACACAGTAGGTCTCAATGTCTTAATCTGCTGCCTCATACTGCCTTGTCCCATTCTCTAGTGTCCCTTGTGGGGAAGGGTGGATTTTGTATTAGTCTATTTCGTTTCTATAACAAAATACCCAAGACTGGGTAATTTATAAAGCAAAGAGGTTTATTTTGACTCAGTCCTGAAAGTCCTAGAGCATAGCACCAGTACCTGCTCAGCTTCTGGTGAGGGCTTCCTGTTGCATCAGCTCATAGGGGACAGTGGAAGAGAAGTGGAATCCAGTAAAAGAGGAGAGGACATAGGGGAACAGATGGTTTATAACAATCTGTTCTTGAGATAATCAGCCCACTCTTTTGAGAACGACTTAAGTCCTTTTTCCAAGGTGGATCTCTCATGACCCAAAGGACCTCTTAAATCCCCACCACCTCTCAATGCCATTACAATGGGGACCAGGCCTCAATATGAGTTTGGGTGGGGACAAACCACATCCAAGCCATAGTGCGTGTGAGTGTGAGGGGTTCTGTTTCCACAGCTCTCTGTAAGATGGGGTCATTTGAGAGTTGGGGAGTCTCTCCAACCCAGCTCAATGTTTAAAGGGTCTGGAAGTGGGGGTCACACGGGTTTCTAGGGGTGGTTCAGAGGATTCCAGGAGGGAGCGTGACTCAGGAAGGAGTAAGTGGCATCTGCAGGGGGCTGGGTGGGGCACAGCACACAATGCCGGGCCCATGGGTGCTGCCAGCAGAGCCTAGCAGTTGTGAGGCCTTGCTCTGAGGCTGGGGATGTGGTCACCAGGTTGGGGTCTCCTGGGCCCCATGGAGGACCCTAGACCCCTGGATGCAGTGTGCATGGGGGCTCCCTCCCACCCAGGGGAGATGTGGGCAAGCCCAGGGAGAAGGTAGGTGGGAGGCAGCCAGCTTCAGGATCAGAGGCAAAGCCATGGGCCGAGGAAGAGGCTGCTCCTCTCTGACTGACAGCCCTGCAGGGGGCCAATTAGGGAACACATTTCCTTTCCATCCAGGTTACTTGGATGCTCCAGAAGTGGCTAATTAGGACTTTGGGTTTGTCACCCCTGCTGAGCAAAGGCCTCAGACCCCTTCCTCCTCCAGGCCTGCTCGGGACAGGCTTGATAGGGTGCCACTGGAGACCACGGGTTTGGGAATCCGCTGACCCTGGGCAGTGACAAATGGAGAGAAGGCTTCAGGCCAAGGAAGCCTGTGGGAAAAGACCTCAGTGCTGGCCCCCGGGTGCTGCCCCTGCCCTGTGCTTGCTCAGATGTGTCTGCTAGTTCCCTGGGCCTAGCTTGGAAGGGTTCTGGGTAGATACCAAGCAAGACAGGAAGGAGTGGGGGTGGAGAGGGTCTCAGTGCCATGCTGCAGAGAGGCCCCTGCCCAGAAAGACCCCACACAGGAGAGGCAGCCTGTTCCATTCCTGCTGGAGGGAAAGGAGTTCTGGCCCCGGAGTCTGGAGATACAGATTCCAAATTTGCTGTGTGACTGTAGACAGGGAACTTTACCAGTCTGGGCTCCAGTTTATTTATCTGTTCTATGAAATGCAATTAAGGGGACATGACAGTCTTCTAAACGAGACACCCTGCCATAGCCCCCTGCCCTGCCAGGCACCATTTCTAAGGGGCAGGAGCCCACAGAGACACTGTCACCTGTCTCCACCTCTGCTGGGCCACCTCAGCCCTCTGTTGCCCTCTAGGGGAATCTGGCTTACCTTGCAAATACTTGAAAAAGAGCCAAGGAGAAGGTCGACGGGAAGACGGGGTGTGTCATTTACAAGCGTTTCGGCAACTTCTCAGGAAAACTACACCTTGGAGGGGCACTTTGTGTGACTGCTCAGAGCAAGTGTGCCCGGGTGTGTAAGAGCGCGTGCGCTCACTCCCAATCCTGCATTCCACTGAACCAGCACAGACACAGACCACATCCCATTGGAGTTACCTGCCGGGAGATGCCTTCACCTGGAGGCCGGGGCTCCAGAGGCCTCTGCCAATGGAGGCCAGTATTCCTACCCAGGCCTGCAGAGAAGGGCTTCCGGGCTTTCCTCTGGCCCTTCTCCCTTCCTACACCATCTTATCCCCTGCCTGGTCCTCACTCACCACCTCCATCTCATGTGGCTGCTCACAGGCACCACAACACACACACACGCACCCCCAGAATGTTCCCTCTGCACACATTCATTGAGCACCTGCTGTGTGCCCTGTCTTATCCTGGGTGCTGAGCTCTCAGACCTGCTAAACACATGGTCTTGGTCCTCTGGGAGTTCCCAGTCTAGGAGGCAAGACACACAGATGAGAGCCACAGAAGGGTGGACATATGGCCCGGTCACAGCCTAAATGGGCCTAAGCAAAGCACGGTGCATCCTCTGGAGGGGATCAGGAGGAAAGGGTTCTGGAGGAGGGAGCCCGAGTGTTCACTGGGCAAAGCAGAGATCTAGGCAGAGAGACGTTTCCAAGCCCAGAAGCTCAACCAGGC